GAGAGAGAGAGAGAGAGAGAGAGAGAGAGAGAGAGAGAGAGAGAGAGAGAGAGAGGAAATTGGTTAAGACTTTTCAAGTTCTCCCAATAATCTGAAATTCTGACAATTGAGGTCACATTCTGTCAGTCAGAATGCTAGAATACTAACACAGTAAAACTTCAAGCCATTCTAAATTCAAGGTGGATGGGTCAATGTCAGAGACTGTGCTTAGTTGGGGCTACCTGGTTTGTGCAGGTGACCTATCCAGCAGACGGGAACGGGTGTGGTGGGAGCCTTGAAGGAAACCTTATACTAATATAGTATTGACATGGTCAATGATGCTAATCCAGAGGTCACACACAAATGGTTATGAAGAAGCTGGAGCTGTTACGTGGCGACAAGTAGATCATTTGGTCCAAAGAGGCACAAAGAAACTTTCAGGAATAGGTCCCAAAAAGGGGAACAAAGATTTTCATTTCTAAAACATACCTTCTTGGTCTTATCAACTTTTCTTTCCTTCATTGATTACTTAAAACTTCATCAGAAAAAAAGATGTGTGTGTATCTGTGTGTGTGTGTCACCTACTAGATGGTTACAAGTATCTCAGAGACCAAAAGTCTTGGGAAGCAACTCTGACCCAGAAAGAAGAAACACACACTGGTGATTCCCCTGTGCAAACAGAAATTAACATGTCCACTCCTCTCTTAATTGTGTGACTGAGAAAGTACCCTACTTTGGGAACCTTCAGTTCCTTGTAGCCTCTGCTCTGCAGCCACCTGCCAAACAGCATAGCCATGTCCCTGCTAGATGCTGGAGCCCAAATGCAGACTATAAATTCCTTTGCCACATAATTAAAGTGCTGGCTGCTGTAAGTGGAGGGTTCATCTTTCCAGTTATCTCCATAATAAATTATTTTGTTTTATGGTGAAAGGGATCTCTCTCCACTTTCTGCCCTGGTTGTTGTAAAATCTGTCTCACTGGATGGGGTTTCTGGCCTCACCCATCTTTCCTAACAAATGCTAGAGCTGTCCTTTTCTTCCTTACCCCTAAGGGAGAAAAAGCTCAAAAACTTCAGATTAAGACCATCTTGTCTCCAAATCTACAAACATATTTACTCACCTGTCTCCTGGCCTGTCATCCTGTTTGACAGAAGGGTTGCCCTCCTGTTTCAGTGTGGCCACTCTACCTCATTGTTGGTACCCCCACACACACACCTGCTCACTCTCCTTCCATCTGGTTCTCATTCCATCCATTGAATCCACCCACCACCAAAGACAAGACAATCTTGCCCTCTTCCAACTGCCAAATCAGGAAGGCTGTGCTGCTCTCCAACTGTCAGCCCACAGCTCTCTTGCCATAGTGACTACTCTTCTTTCCAGGTATTATTGTATCTGGATTTTTGGCAGCATCTCTTTAAATATACAGTTCTTTTGTCTTCCAGAAGTGAGCCACCATGTGGTTGCTGGGAATTGAATTCAGGACCTCTGGAAGAACAGTCAGTGCTCTTAACCTCTGAGCCATCTCTTCAGCCCTAGTTCAGATAAATCTTGATTCTCATTGTCTACCTTTTTAAAAACAAAACGGCTACAGATAAATGTTGAATTGTAATTAAGTATATTTGTGGTTGGTTAGTCCTGCTGTTTCACTAGCTCCCAGAAGTAATTGGTTGGTTGGTTGGTTGGTTGGTTGGTTGGTTGGTTGGTTGGTTGGTTTGGGTTTTTTCCCCTTCCTTTTGTCCTGAAATTAGCTTCTTATTTTCCAAAAAGCTTTGAGTCTTTTCCTGAAGAAGGTATCTAAAAGCCCAAATCTGGGCATTGGCGTAGTCATTGCTATTGCATGCCATCTTAGGCACACGTGGTAGACATCCAGGAAGTGTGTGTGTCAATTCATACACGTATATATATCCTCTTCACTTCTCTGTATACATTTAAATAATGAGTTCATATTGAGACCTCCAATTCTAAAATAACTCCAAAATTCATCCTGGCCTTTCTCCTTTCCCCTTTCCTTATGTGTTAACTTCCCCTCTCACAGGAAGTAGCCACACTCATCGGACACACATTCATTTGGACCGTTGACTTGATTATGTACCCACTCGTCCATATCCCTAAAGGTTTTGTGTGTATTCCTTTGTCCTCACACTTAGACTTTGCAGCCAATGGTGGTGTGCTTCACTTAGCGTCCTCCTCCGTCTTCACCTTTGCAATTCTGCTTCCTTGATGAGCAAGGGTTCATTTGTTCCTGTTTGACTCCCTGGGAGTTGGCTTTGGATATTCACTGCTCTCTGAGGCTCTAAAAGCCAATGCCATGATATGTTCAGAAAAGTGTGCATATCCCCCAACCCTGATCTCTGCTCTTTCCACCTACTTCTCACCCGTACACCTGTAGTTAAAGAACCATCTTTTTAGTTTGATTTAGTTCAGAGCTTTCCTCTGTGTGCTTGTGGATTTTGTAGAGACATGTTGTTGTTTTTTCTGCCTACTTCTTTCTTACTGTTTTAAGATTTTTTTTTGTAAGTTTTTTTGTATAGTTCCATTTTGTTGTGGGTGTAACTTGCATTTCCCCTTTGGTTCCTGGTGTTGAACATGTGTTACTTTCTTATTAAGAAGCTGGAGCTGCCACTGCTTGTTTGCTAGAGACGTATTCTCAGATGGCCTGACTCTTTCCCACTTTGCAGAAAAGAATAAGCTCCTGGAATTGTCCTGCTGGCTTCCTGTACTCCCACAAGACCTGTTTCCATTTGGACAGTGTCTCCTCCATGCTACTAGGGCCTTTGTCTCTCTACTCTCTGTATATTCAGACTTGGCATAGCCCTGAGGACTACCTGACATAAAGTCAATGACCAGTACATAGTTACTAAGTGCTGAGTGAGAACCATGGGTCATCTACCTCAAAAGAGTGCCCACCTGTTGCTTAGTGTCCTTTGGAAACAGTAACAATAAAACCTGACTATTTTCAGGTAAAACTGAAAATAATCTCCAAGAAAAGGCTCCTAGGCCTCTAGAGGAATGGCTCAGTGGTTAAGAACGTTGGCTGCTCTTACTGAAGACTCCAGGATTCAATTCCCACCACACATATGGTGGCTCAAGTTAAAAGAGAGCCAGCGCCCTCTTCTTGTCTCCATAGGTACAACACTCACATGCATACAACAAATAAAAATCCCAGCACTTAGCAAGCAAAGGCAGACCGACTTCTTTGAGTTCCAAGCCAGTTGGGGTTACCCTGTCTCAAATTAAAAAGTCTTGAATTAAGATTGGTTTTATGATTCTTTTTCTGGTATGATGAACTTTCTTACAAGAAAATATTTTCCACTTTTGCTTCCTGTTTTACTTAAGGCTGCTATTATAGTTTGTAGATGCTAACTGCATATAGTTGTTAGCTAATTGGTGTCATTTTGTTAAAAGGGTAAAATTACATCAGTATAACTCATAAAAATCTTTTCATTTCAAAGAACAGTGGGTTGTGAACAGCAGCTTGGAGATGTTTATATGCCAAACTTAATTATAGACAGAGCCACTGAACCATACTAAAGTCACACAATTTCTGATTTCTTGATAATACAGTAATCATGGGTATTTGTGTTTGTTTTATTCATTGAGGGCCTCCCATGCTCTTGTATATGTGTATTCCTGTATAAAAATATTTTCAATAGGGTCTGGCAATGTAATTCAATGGGAGAGTACATGCCTGGTGTCTGTAAAGCCTGGGATTTGTGTTGTCTTTTTCTATGCTAAATTTGGAAAAATAAGGTTTTTATATTCTATTAATTTATTCAATATCTGCAAACCAAAGCTTAGTTTTTTCCTAGCAGCCTAAGGTAGACATTAGCACTTTACCTACAAAAAAGGAGTTAAATAAAATGAGTCTTAAGCATTCAACAGCTTTTACTGCAGGAATCAGAGCATTCCTTGCGTCTGTTCTGTAAGCTGGGTGTGGTGGTGCAGGCCTCTAAGCCTTCCCTGTCTGACCCTGGGAGTCATCGTAGGCTCCTGAAATGCTGTCTCAAAACAGAAAAGCAGCAGAGATGTATTTCTTGTTCTTTGTATCAGGCCATGAGGCATGGAACGGAATGTCCTAAAGGAAGGGGGATCTGGCATTTCTTCTCTCTCCAAACCTGTGTGTGGTTAGTGCCCAGTATTGGTCAACACTGAGCATGTGTGTGTGTGTGATACACAAAAATGTGTAAAAAGAGAAACTTCTTTCTCCTTTGCAGGTGTCCTTGTAGACCTGGGTCTGGAGGAAAATGGGCTTGCTCATCAGAGAGCAGAGAAATATGTTGTTCGCCTAGACAGTGAGATTCAAAGCAAGTTTGAAGTTTTCATGAGGAAGGTGAAGCAGAACCCCTACACGCTGTTTGTGCTGGTTCATGACAACTCCCATGTGGAGCTAACGAGGTGATTGATTGCTTCAGTGGGAGCAGATCCAGTATTTCTTCTATAGCAGTAACTGTTACCTAAGGAAAGCCTTTAGTCACAGTGTGAAGGTGCTGAGACCGTCCCAGTCGGTGTCTTCCCACTGGTAACTCATTCCCAGTCACTCCTTGCCCCTAAAACTCTGCTGCCCAATTTATGTTGATCTTCATTTTTGTGTCATTATTGATTTATTTTATGCATGTACATTATTCGTGTAGCACTCATGCACACATAGATGTCAGAGGACACCTGTGGGAATCGGTTCTCTCTTCCACCATGTGAGCTCCTGGGACCAAACATGCGCACCCACACGCACACATTTACACAAAAAAAATAAAATAGAATAGAATAAGATATGCATGATAACCTGGCATACCCAAACTGAAGAGCACTGTGGAAACTTTAGCAGTGTGACTCTCTGGCTCCCAGACCTCCTCCCAACCCTCTTCCTATTCCTATCCCTGCTGAGACGGGAGGACGCAACTGTGGGTTGCGTCTTTGCAGGGCTGGAAGCTTTCACAGTAAAACAATCCAATTCAACACAGATGAGCCACTGTGGGCTGCATGACTGACTACTCAAAACAGCTTAGAGACAAATTGAAAAGCCAGGAAGGGAAGAGTCCCCAACATCTGTCTGGAAGGGTAATATAAAAATAAGACAAGATCTCATTATATAGCCCAAGGTGGCCTTAAATTCTTTCAAGACACGGTTTCTCTGTGTAGCCCGGGCTGTCCTGGAACTCACTCTGTAGACCAGGCTGGCCTCGAACTCAGAAATCCCCCTGCCTCTGCCTCCCAAGTGCTGGGATTAAAGGCGTGCGCCACCACTGCCCAGGTGGCCTTGAATTTTTAATCTTGCCTGCCTCAGCTTCTCATGTGCTTCCTGATTACAGGTGTGTACTGCCACACCCAACTATGAGTCACATTCTGATTAGATCTGCCCCTCTCAAATAAAGTAAATGCAGTGTCACTCCCATGCTGCCCTGCTTCTGTATCCAGTCAGCTGGGATTACAAAGCACTGATGTGACTTACTATCTCTACAGTGTGATCTCAGGCTCTCTGTCACATGGTGAGCCAACCCATGGATTGGCTGATCGAGTTATTAATTGCAGAGAAGTTCTAGAAGCTTTCAACCTCCTGGTGCTCCAGGTGAGCTCCCTCCCATACACACTGCAGACCCAACAGTCTCGAATCAGCTCCAGCAACGAGGTCCACTGGATACAACTGGACACAATGGTGAGTCTCCTGCAGCCATGTGCAGTTCCCTGGGAGGTAGAATCTGGAACTAAACATGGCCATGGCTTTGTAAAACATAGCACAATCATGCCAAGACATCTAATCAACATTTTTCATATAATCACAGTTTTTTGAAATGGGATCTTGCTGTTTTGCCTTTTCTGGCTCTAATGGTCTCGCCTCATTCTTCTGAGTGCTGGGATTGTGGACACTATACCTTCATGTGCTAATTGCAGTTATTATGACACTGACACCTGGTGAATGGTAAACTAGAGAAAGTTTATTGGGTGGCTAGTCTTTAGGAATGTATGCATGGTTTAGATAAGGAACTAACCATACTATATAGACTTCAGTATGCAGATGTAATGCTGTATCCCTGTATCCAAGGGAGACTGTGAGTTTAGGGTCAGCCTGGATTATATACAGAGTATTGTCTGATTTCCAAACAAATGAACAAGTAATATTACACCAGAGCATTGATAACCCTGAATTACCTGTGTGACTTTAAATGATGGCATTTCAACATGCTAGTGAGATTTCAATTTCTATGGGTACTAACCCATCCATACAGCCCTTGTGTAGTAAGTGTGAGGCTCCCAATTCAATCCTTATACTGAAGAAAAAAAAGAATAAGACTAACTTTACCTGAGGCCTAAATGCCTTGTTTTCTTGGTTATACTAAGATTATATTCTGTGTCCCTGATAATTACCTTCCCTTTCCTTACTGCAGCTTCCATTTTGGTGGGTTCTTCATCTTTTGGTTGAGACCAAAGTGACAGGGCTGGCACCATGGGCAGGCCTACCTGCTGAGAATAGTCTTCTCAACACTGTGTCTATTAGATGGTTCTTTACGGTTTTGGTTCTAGTCCCTAGTATCTAATATTTTCTATAGCCTATAAGTGGTATGGTAAATATATTATCAAAGAAATAAGTTTCATAAAAATGATAGACCTTAGCCGGGCAGTGGTAGCGTACGCCTTTAATCCCAGCATTTGGGAGGCAGAGGCAGGTGGATTTCTATGTTCAAGGCCAGCCTGGTCTACAGAGTGAGTTCCAGGACAGCCGTGGCTACACAGAGAAACCCTGTCTCGAAAAACTAAAAAACCAAAAAAACAAAAAAACAAAACAAAACAAAACAAAATCCATAGGCCTTAGCCAATGTATTGTGAATCTCTTGTGTAAAGATATTAAAAGCTTTGGGTACTTAAAAATAAGTGTGTTTAAGTCAGAAAGTGCAGACATGTCTCATACATGAATAACTACTTCTGAGCCCTGTGCATTTCACACTGCTGTAAAGCTGGGACCTTGAACCTTCAGCAGTGCCCTCAGTGTGAAAACTCTCATACTGTGACCACATCACACAAAGACTACTCCAAGTTGTGACTTAGCTGTGATCCTGGTGCCAACTACATCCAATCACTTGACTTGTCAAGCCCCACCACCATCCTCCTCCTGCCAAGTGCAGGCTGAGCCTGTGACCTCATTTTACGTGAGTGGGATTGCCAGTTGACCAGATATAAGGGAAAAGTATCTTGATTAGTGATACTGTGTGGTCCTGGGGATCCTGAAGTCTCACTGGAGGGTAGCTATGCTGAGGGCTAGAAGTCAGCACCCTGAAGACTCCTGACTCTTGACCTCACTGCAGCTCACAGAGAGCAACACGAAGTCAGGGCAGCTGTCTACCGAGGAATGAACAGCGTACACGTAGACAATGGAATATTGTTCCACAAGTATGAATGCAAGTCTGCCATTTGCATTGGATGAGGCAAGAGAGCATTGTGTAGAGTGAAATCGTCAGGCACAGAAAATCAAACACTGTGTTCTCACTTAAATATGGGAACTGAAAACAACATCTTAAAGAAATAGAGAGTAGAGCGGTGGTTAGCAAGAACTAAACAGATGGAGGTTGGCAAGGACATAGAGAGAATGACTAGCAGTTAGACAAGAGGAAGAACTTCCCTTGTTCTGTAGTGCAACAAGAGAACCATGAATGAAAGTAATTAATTGACTATTTCAACACCTAAGAAAATATAGAACATTCTCAACACAAAGAGATAAAGATCAGAAGTGATAACTATGCCAACTACTCTGACATTATCAGTATACATAATATACATGTACTGAAATGCCACACTATGTATCTGAATGCCGCAAGTATGTATAATTACTGTATGTCAACTAAACATTAAAATATTTTTTAAAACATTTTTTTTGTTGTTCTAACAAAACAGATCTCCAGTATGTCTCCTTTTGGTGTGACATTTGTCCACAGGGGAACTCACCCCCATGATGGAGAGAAAGACTTGTTTTTCCTTTCCTGTTATTCTTTCTCATGATAAGAAATAGGTTTTATGTGATTTTCCTTGAGTCATCCCTGTGGTTACAGTGAATACTTTAGGTATAATGGTGGCATTGGGGCCATATTTTAAAAGGAGTAGTTAGTGATCTCTAGTAATGCCCTTCCTTGTGATTCTGGGAGTTTGTTAAAGGCAGCCAGGAAGAGGGAGTTGTTATTATACTTAAGAAATAAAAGGTTATTACTTCTTTGTTCTAGCCTAATGTCAGATTCCTGCCCGAAGCCCACTTCCTTGTCCTTGACCAATGTTATATTCCTGCCAAGCAGCCCATTTCCTTGTCCTTGGCCCATGTCAGATTCTTGCCAAGCAGCCCCAAAGGCTCTCCACCCCCCCTTTTTATTTCATAAACAAGACTATGCCTTCCTTACCCATCATGGAATATGCATTATCAAAAGCAATGCACTTCTGTCTTAGGTTGGTAAGGCTCTGTGCAGAATCTTATCCGTCTTTGGCTTGCCAGCCTGTTAATTTAATAACTCTGCCTTGGGGGTCCATTTTCAGGTTCAAGCCATGTACTTTGGCTGCCAACATATTGATATTATTAAAGACAAGCTTTAACACGATGGGCAGGAATAAAAGTATTCCCAGGATAAAAAGGGGTAGCATGGTCAAGCTATATATGCCATTCTTGAAGTTTGACCAAAATAGAAATACTGACCTCAGGCCATGGGTAATTTTATCAGCAGTATCTGCTGTATCAACACTCAGCAGAGCAGTGTTCTTTAAATTCATAAGCTTACTATGTAAAGTTAAAACATACAGAGAGGTGTCAGAATTATGCCAAATACACTGCAAGTGTCTTTAAACTTTTTCCTAATTATGACTACCACTGAAAATTTTAGAATTAACATGAATCCAATGGTATTTGGCATGACACTCAAGATGGCTCCTTACTCTTAAACTCAGAATCTCCTTCCAATAACTTGAATAGGATAAAGAGCATCAGTCCATTGTTCCAAATGTCTATCTAAATCCTCTTGTATATTCAACATATTAGTAACATTTTTTGCTAAATGATTAGCAAAAGTAGCTATCTTAACTTCTCGTGTCAAAGCAATTGCAGAAGCAGTAGTGCTAGCAATTAATGTAATTAAAGCTGTTATACCAGCAATAATCAAGCCCACTACCCTCTTGCTTCTGCTTAAAGCCTGACTTACTTCTTCTAGTACTTGCAAGCTTTTTTCAGAAGACCAAGGTTCTGTGATACTCAGGGCAATAAAACAAAAGCTGGTTGATAGACCTCTGTATCTGACATGCCGGATTTCAACATACTAACACAATTAAAAAGTATACAATCAATGCAACATACATTAAATACTGTAGAAGAAACAAAAGTATTTTTAACTTGACAATTAAAAGAGCCTTAACACATGTAATAACACTTGTTTGAAACCATCAGGAATCTAAATCTTAGGCTAGAACAAAGAAGTAATTTCAGACAGGAATCTAAATTTTAGGCTAGAACAAGGAAGTAGGCTTCAGACATGAAAATGTCTTTGGGCTAGGACAGGGAAGTTGGCTCAGATATTTTGGTCATTCTGATAAGCCCTTAGAAACAGTGATCACAGGAGTGTTCACAGAATTTTGTTTATTGCCTTGCTCTTTAACCATTTGTGTTTATTGTCTTGCTTGTTCCTTGACTGTTTGCATCTATTGTATTGCTAGACCCTCAACCTAGAACTGACGTTTATACTTGCATGTAATTAAAATGGTATAAAAACAAAAAGGAGGAGGGGGGATGGGATAGAGGTTTCTAGGGAGGGAAAAGGGGAAGGCATCTGGAATGTAAATAAATAAAATACCCAATTAAAAAAAGAAAACAACAACAACAAAAAAAGAAATAAAAGGTTAAAAAATCAGGCTATGGAGATGCTCAAAAGGTAATGGTGCTTGCTGCATAGGCCTGACAATCTGAGTTTGGGCCTTGGGGCCCACAGAAAGGAAAAAAAAAGAGACATTGTTGTTTTTGACCTCCAGGTGACTGCTGGCATGTGCATGCTAACAACACCCCATGCACAACCGACTCACATTTTTTAAAATGTAAGTTTTAAAAGATTACTCTTAGAGTCAGACATGACAAGCACATGCTATCATACCAACTACTTGGGAAGCTGAGGCAGGAGGATTACTTGAACCCAGGCTCCACCTTAAAAAAATAATAACTTCTTGTTGTTTTTTGAAACAGGCTTTTTCTGTATAGTTCTGACTGTCCTGGAATTTGTTCTGTAAGCCAAGTTAACTTTAAACTCAGAAATCTGCCTGGTTTTGCCTCTTGAGTACTGGAAGTAAAGAATGGGCCACTGTATGGCAAATAATAATAATTAACTGATTTTTACTGGAGAAGAGATCATCACAGTTAAAGAGCACCAAACTCTGAGTATTTGAGGTTCTTAGTTTCTTGTACTATGGATATGTCAAAAAAGAGAGCAACTCCTAGCCAGAAAAGAAGGTGTCTGCCCTGTGTATCTGAACCAAAGGAAAAGAAAACAAACCTAGGTGTAGTTTCCTAAAGGATGCCACTAATCATACACTAAGTCCACAGAAATGTACCATTGGTGTCAAATTCCACAGCCGCTCTTACCTCCCACCAAGCCTGTTCACTGCTCTGCTCTGTGTTCAACCAGGAGGATGTGGGCTGTGAGAAGCTATACTTTGGCTTGAATGAGTACAGCAAGTCTCTGCAGTGGGGGATCACCAGCCCACTCCTGAGATGTGATGAAACCTTTGAGAAGATGGTGAGCACCCTCTTGGAGAGGTAAGGAAGGCTGTCCTTGGCTTTAGTATATGTCAAAAACAGTTGAATGTCTGTCTGGCCATGTCACAGTGACTTTGGTGGTGCTCATGCAAGTGACATGGAAAGGCCAAATAAAAAAGCTTTCTTAAGATGGCCTTCTACTACCACGGGTTTCAGATGGTCCTCCAAGGAGAACAAGAGCAGGGTGTCCAACAGTAGGGGCCAGTACCATTTTTTCACACTCGAGATTGTCTCCTAGGCAGCTTCACTACAGAGGAGAATCTGTGTGTTAAAGGCCACTGCCCTGGCCTCTAGCCAGTCTCCTGACATTATACCCCAAGTTTGTTCCTCTTCACCTGTTCCCCGTGGGCAAGTATCCTTAGTCAGGTCCTTCAAGCTAAACTTGGGAAACTGGTTACAATGGAACATAGTTAAGGAATGAAAAGCATTTGAACATGTTCTATCCTTGGGACCTATCCTGAAGTCCTGTCCATCAAGGCTGAGAATCTTATTTTTTTCTATTTTAGGGATAATTCCCCTTAATGTGTCAGGCTTCCCTTATTCCTCAGTTCCAGGAATGTTTTGTGTTTGTTTTCTCAGAGCCTGATTGATAGACTCAAAAGGAGGGTAACATCCTTTCCCACCCTCAGTGTGACCATCCCATAGGTAGTGAGGTAAATTAGACCTCCTGATAGCTCTAGTTTCTTAATACTGGACATGGTTGGGTAGAGTCAGCCCTTTACCAGTCTGCACCACTGTCTTGAAAATGTTTTAAGAAAAGAAAAATAAAATAAAGATAAATGGATATGCCCAGGCCAGCAAGATACCGCTGTGTCAGGGAAGGGAGCAGGGCTAGGAGTGGAGCCAGCACTCACAGCTGTAGGGGGACAGGCACCTTCCTGTGTCATTAACTGTCATGTGCTGCCCTCTCTAAGACATTCCTACCCAGCTCTTTCCCCTGCTGAGAATTTGTCTTCAACATGGCTTGCATTTTAAAAGACGGTTCCGTCAACTTCCATTATAGATTTTTTTTTTTCGGTTTTTCAGACAGGGTTTCTCTGTGTAGCCCTGGCTGTCCTGGAACTCACTCTGTAGACCAGGCTGGCCTCGAACTCAGAAATCTGCCTGCCTCTGCCTCCCAAGTGCTGGGATTAAAGGCGTGGGCCACCACCGCCCGGCCCATTATAGATTTTGTAATGCAAAACCACAACTATAGTTTAATGCAAACAAATGCAGGAAATTTCACCATTAAGTCATAATTTTGTCAAAGTGTGGAGTGTAAATGTCTGTGTTTTGAAGTTAATCTTTGTTCTAACTTTGGCTCTTAAAAAAATTGCCAGTAATCGTAAGCTTTAAATATAGCTCTTCTGTGGTTTCCTCCCCTCCAGCATTCTGCCCAAGCTAATAATATCTATGACTTATTGAACATCTGGCAGCACTAGCCCAGGACTGTGCTTTTCTCAACCTAGTAAACCCTGTAGTACAAGAAGACATGACAGAGACCTGAATACAGTCCAGACCAGTCTGTCTCCAGTCAGTGATTGAGAACAAGCAGCTGAATTTCTCTCCATCCCCACACTCATCCCAGTGGAAGGTGGAGAGGCTAGAGCACTGCTACCTTTAGTCCATCCCCTCTAAAACTCTTCAAGGCCATGGTACTCATTTGATGGCCCTAACTGGTATTTGACCCTAGGTGTTTCTAGGCAAGCTTGTGAACATTTGTTCAATTTTAAGGAGAACTAGAAAGTAGAGCAAAGGTGCCTACCCTGCTGATGGGCAGCTCATGAACTACCAACTAGTGGCCAAGAAGGGGCCAGACTCCTCAGCACTCTGCCAGGCTCAGCACCTCAGCCAAACCCTGCACAGCCCTGCCAGTGTACTTTCTCAGCAGCCAGTGTGCCCCGTGCCCTTTGGTCATCAGATCTCCCTTCCACAGGAAGAGCACCAAAGTGACACATCTATTTTCTACCTAGCCTGAACAGCCAGCATGACCAGTGTGACTGCCACCTGCCAGTCTAGATAGCGGAGAACAGTAATGCTCAGATTCCCAGGCTCCCTTCCTCAAATAGTCTCTGGTAATAAAACATTCGCCACTAGGGGATGCTCTTTTTCCAGCTAGCTCCAATTTCTTCTGTACCAACTCATATTTTTGTTTTTGTTTTTTTGTTTTGGGGGCTGTTTGGTTGTTTGATTGGTTTGGTTTGGTTTGGTTTTTGAGACAAGATTTCTCTCTATAGCCCTGGCTGTCCTGGAACTCGCTCTGTAGACTAGGCAAGCCTTGACTCACAGAGATTCACCTGCCTCTGCCTCCCGAGTGCTGGGATTTAAGGGGTATGCCTCCACTGCTCCACTCACCAACTCACATTTTTATGGGAAGATATATTTCTGCTACCCATAGAGCTCAAATTAGCGATAATTCATGTGTTGGTATTCTCTTGCTGTTTTTTTTTTAAATAGCATCTCATTAAACTGGAATCTGCACATTACGTAGCCCAGCCTGAGCTTAACTTCTCAATCCTCCTGCCTCTAGCTTACAGGTGCTAGAGTTACAGGCACGCTCTAGCACTCCTACTTCAGTTATCTTTTCTTTCTTTTCTTTTTTTATATCTGATACACCAAAAATAATGACAACAGTGTCTCAGTTTCCTTTACTGTAGTCACATAGAGAGCTGAACTGGCAGTGCTTCCTGTAGCAGCATGAGGGATTGCGACTCGTTCACAATTAACCTGTACCAACCAGTGTGTCTTAGTATCTAGTGAGCATCTGTATTGCTGGTGGGGGAGGGGATGTTCAGCCGTGAAGTCTGGCAGTTCTAACTTTCTGGTCCCGGTGCTGGCCCACATGGTACTTTGAGAAGGTAGAGTGACTAGGCCAGCCCCCAAACTCTAATTTCCTTTACCTGTCTCAACAGGTTATACATGCATTACAAGTAGAGCCACTTCTAGTAATGTGGGATCCAAGGTTATTCTGCACAGTAACACCTTCCTGCTGTTTCCGTCGGCATTTTACTGCGCATGCCTTGCTGTTCCTGCTGGCCGCTGCTGAGCACTAACTCCTTGCGTTTTGTCGTAGATACCCCCGGCTACATAGCATGGTCGTGCGCTGCTATCTTCTCATCCAGCAGTACTCAGAGGCCTTGATGGCTCTCACCACCATGGCGTCACTCCGAGACCACAGCACACCAGAAACGCTGAGCATTATGGATGACCTTATCACCTCCCCAGGAAAAAACAAAAGTGGGAGAGGACACATGCTCATCATCAGAGTGCCTTCCGTGCAGCTGGCGATGCTGGCCAAGGAGCGGCTGCAGGAGGTTCGAGACAAGCTGGGTCTGCAGTATCGCTTTGAGATTATCCTGGGGAACCCCGCCTCCGAGCTCACTGTTGCAACTCACTTTGTGACACGGTTAAAGGTTAGTAAAGGGCAAGCATACTGTTTGTTTGTTTTCTAGGACTCTTGGTTAGATGGATCACCCAGACGACTGAGTTGAATAAGTTTTACACATGTGTGACTTTGACCTCCCAGACCAGGTTAAGGCTAAACTAAAGAAAGCACTGGCTTTTCTTAATTGACAGCAGTTTCTAACATCCCATCAAATCCTTTTCCCTGTGCATTTACAGCTGGCCTCCAGCACACACGGAGATGACTAGTTTGCCCCGTGGTTCCCGACATTGGTGGAGGTGCATCTAGCCCACTGCTATGTATTTTCTCAACTTGTTGACTAATTCTTTTCTGTGCATCTATCCTATGTGTCAGCTGGAGGCTGCACAGTATTCCCCTTCATCTTAACACTCCTCTAGAGCAGCTTTAGACTCCCTTGCATATGCAGTCCCAGCTTGATTCTTTGTATACTCACTTTGACCTTAAGCACCCAGGCTTTGGTGGGGCTGACTGCAGTGTCCTATGGAGGGACTTAGTACATGATCCAGCCAGCCCCTTGCCGTCTGCATAGCCAGGGACTGACTGCCTGACACTTACACCTCCTGTCAGACAGGGGTCAACTATCCTAAGTCCTTGCCTTATGCCTGGCCCAGGTTTTCCTTGAAGATTTTTACAATTACTGTCCAAGCCACTAGAAAGCATTTAATCAAATGTCCACATACAGATGGGGGGCAGAGCTAGCTACTATATGTCTGAGTCAGACTGCACATTAAATACCAAGCTAAACTGAGTTATGACTAACCTAGTTTGGCACTCACTGGCTGAAGTGAAAACGCATGGTCCACTTTGCTGCAGTTTCCTCTCTGCAAAATACAAGATTTGAACCATGTGATTTCCTCAAGCTCTAACTTTGAGATTTTTTTTAAATTTATTTGTTTTATGGTTATGAGTACACTGTTGCTCTCTGCAGACACACAAGAGGGCATTGGATCCCAGGACAGATGGTTGTGAGCCGCCATGACATTGCTGGGAATTGGATCTCTGGAAGACCAGCCAGTGCTCTTAACTTGGAGATTTTTATTTACTCTTCATAAATAACTTTGCAAATGTTAGGTTTTTCTGTTGTATTATCTAACCTAAATTGAATAGCCCAAAATACTTGATAAGCAACTAGAACAATAAAATTATCTCCAAACTGAAACTCATATTCAGTAGCAATTATAACTGTTCTGTTTCAGAAATATGTTCACAGCTTATGGGCAAAGACTGGACTTTCCGATCCGTTCATCAGAGAGGTTCTTCCAGATGTATAGAGGAGGGCCGAAGTGTGTGTGTGTGTAACACAAGGCTGGCTCTTGGCATTGCTTTAGTGCAACGGCCATTTGTCATTGGTGATTTTCTTGCTTTGGGAGGTCATGGGAAGATAATGCAGCCTGAGTGGCCTTCCACAGAGCTGGTTGAGAAATGTAGACACTTGTGGTTTTGCTGTCACTGAGGCAGCTTCTGTCATCTAAAAACCAGTTGTGACAAGTAATTAGGTGGTCTTTCTCTCAACCTGGACTTTCTTGTGAGTAGATGTGGGTCATGAAGGTTTTAGTGATGAAGAAAAATAAAATTATGGTCAAAGGCCACATTGTAGAAAATTCTTATGGTGAATAACAGTGCCCCTGCAGGCTTCCTGACAGTGGGTCACTGAGACACGAGCTTGAGGCAGCCTGAAAACACTAAGGAACTAGAAACAAGTGCTATGCACACAGCAGCACTCTGGAGAATCCACGGCTGCTGCTGTGCTACACTAGGACTGCAGGATGCTCCTTGGATTGGCCTGACTCTCCACATCTAACTCCGGACAGTCCTGGGTCATTTGATTAGAAGGTCAGTATATGCTGGTGGTGGTGGACGGCTTTAATCCCAGCACTTAAGAGACAGAGGCAAGCAGATCTCTTGAGTTCAAGGCCAGCCTGGTCTACAGAGCAAGTTCCAGGACAGCCAGGGCTACACAGAGAAACCCTGTCTGAAGAAAAAAAAAAAAAGGAAAAGAAAAGAAGGTCTTTATATTTCAGGGGATTGTAAAAACCTGTCCCTCTGGGCCACTGTCTAGAAAACAATGAACCGTCACTCCTTAGAGTGCCAATGCACTGGCAGTGCTTAGGGAAGGGGACACTGGGCTGTGTGTGTACCCTGGGTCAGGACCACTGTCCAAGGGTGTGCCTTATGTGAAGGACTTCCTAGTGATTATTTCTCAAAACAGTGGAACCCCCTTCATTTATCTGAGTAACTGCTAGATACCAGCTGCATAAGAGAGTCCCAGATTCTCAAACCTCTGTTTCCCCTCAGTCTCTCCTCTCTTGTACTATCTGTGTGAGGGTAAAAATATAAACTCCTGCTGGAATGCTCACACCTAGGCAGGACTGCCTCTTGACAGGTGCCTCCTGGGTTACCTATTCTTTTAAGCTCCTAGATGCCTTCTCCACTATCAGAAGGCGTGAGGTATATTTTATTTTCAGCCTTGGGTAAAATGCAACCCTGTTCCCATTTTATGACCTCAATCTTATATTTAATCCTCTTTATACATTGTGGTTAATTGGTCAGAGATGACAGATATTAAAATTTAACCTTGGACAAATTAATTTTTTTTTTTTTGGTTTTTTGAGACAGGGTTTCTCTGTGTAGCCCTCCCTGGCTGTCCTGGAACTCACTCTGTAGACCAGGCTGGCCTCGAACTCAGAAATCCACCTGCCTCTGCCTCCCAAGTGCTGGGACTAAAGGCGTGCGCCACCACTGCCCGGCACAAATTAAATTTTTAACCTTAAATAAATCAGTCAGTTCACTCAACAAGCATCTGAAACGTCTGTACAGTTGCCTGGGTAGTGAACCAAGTACTGAGCCAAAACTGGCTTGTTGTCCAGTCTTCTATGTTGGATTAAGTGCCTTGGAAAAACGAATTCTGAGACCACAGTTGATCCATGGAAGTTACTATCCTTCATCACAAGGATCAGGTTGATGGGAAGCATGGCACAGTGGGTTGAGCAGTTGCTATTGGTCAAGAATAAAAGTGAGATGTGTTTCACACTCAGTGGAAATCTCCCGAGTGGTGAGACATCTTATCAGTTTTTCTTTTGTCATCCCGGCCTCTTGACCCTTGGTGGAATCGTGACTTAATGGTGGATTCCAGAATCTAAAACACTTTCAGGAGAATTCCTGTTGTCCGGAAGAGCATAAACACAGTGTGAAGACCACTGAGTAAAATTACTCCTGTTCCAGGACTGTTTGCTCTGAGTGGGGCAATTCATTGTTTCCCTTGAGTGCAGGGGGATGGGACTGATGTCCTTCTGAAGGTGTTTGGTTGGAGGCAGGGTCTCGAGTAGCCGAGGCTGGCCCTAAATGTACTATGTAGCTGAGCATAACCTTGAAACCTAGTCTCCTTCCTCCTTCCTTTTCCTCCTTCTCCTCCTCTTCTTCCTCCTCCTCCTAAGCACCACCATTACAGGCATATGCTGCCATGCCAGGGTCCCAAGTGTGTGTGGTGTGGATGCCCACAGAAATCAGAAGAGGAATCAGATCCCCCTGGAGTTAGTTATGGGCTTGTGAGCTGCCTGACATGGCACAGGGAGCTGAACCCCACTTCTGTGTTCTTTAACTGCTGGGCCATCATTCCAACCTGAGAATGTGTTTTTTAAAAATATTTCTAGGTTGATTTTTTTAAATTAAAGTTCCATACAAAATATTTGACTATGTTTTCCCCTCCCCCAACTCTTCCCAGAGTATCTCATCTTCTTATCCACCCAACCCAACTTCCTTTCTTCCTTCCTTCCTTCCTTCCTTCCTTCCTTCCTTCCTTCCTTCCTCCCTCCCTCCCTCCCTCTCTCTCTCTCTCTCTCTCTCTCTCTCTCCCCTTCCTTCCTTCCTTCCTTCCTTCCTTCCTTCCTTCCTTCTTTCTTTCTTTCTTTCTTTCTTTCTTTCTTTCTTTCTTTCTTTCTCTCTTTCTCTTTTAAAACAAAACCCACAAAAATGAAAACCAGAACAGATAAGCAAAAGACCAATGAGACAAAAAAGCCCATGAAAGGGAGGGAATGTTCTGTTTTGTGTCAGCCAGCTACTCCTGGGCATGGAACTGACCTGGAGTGTGGTTGATATACTCAGTAGCACCCCATTGAACTCAGAGATCCATTTGTCTCTGCTTCTTGAGTGCTAGAATTAAAGGGGTATACCAACACACCCTGAACAGCAGCTTACTTCTTAGTCCTTGTTTGGTAAAGCATTATCAGAAGTGCCAGTTAAGCCCTGCTGGAAAGATGACATAAAACCTACTTACACTCTATACATGTAATAAATAATAATCTTTGAAACCTATCTACTTGAATTGGTCTATTTTTTTTGCTGTTCTAAACTGGAAACATCTGGGTGCTGAGGCTGTACCTTAGCTGTTGGAGTGCCTGGCACACATGAAGTCCTCTATTTGATCCCTAGCACTAAAGAAAGCCAGTGGTTGTGACACACAACTGTAATCTCAGCCTTTTGGAGGCGAGGACACATGTCCAGGTTTATCCTCAACCTCACATCAAGTTTAAAGCTAGCCTAGGACATGCAAGACCCCATTTCAGAAAAAAACAAAACAAACAATTACAGATCCTTCATCCTTGAACATCTTTCAAAAGTGGGTTTTCCTTGTGCATTATACAGCCATGTTTTCAAGACTGATGTCCAAGTCATTAAAGGATCTGCGTGGCTAAGTGTCTGTGGTGGTCTGTGAAGATCGTGGTGGGGAAGATTGGGTGCTTTGTAGGTGCTTGATGGCATCAGGAGCAGATCGTGTCCCTCTTCAGTAAGGGCAGCTGTGTTTGTTCCTGACCCAGCCTGATCAGTCTTGCAGACTTTGGTGGCCTCCTGCCAGTCACTATTTGTCAGGCTGGGTGGGGAATTGAGCCTCCAGTTTTGTGTCTGGGCAAGTTCTACCACTTAGATATATCTCCTAGCCCTCTTTTACCTTTTATTTTGATATATGTCTCATTATGTTGCCCACAGGGTGGCCTTGAACTTGGAAACTTCTTCCTTGGTCTCTTGAGTAACTAGGATTACAGACATACACCTCTAGAACAGTTATTTTTAAAGTCGAGAAAGGGAGAAAGAGAAAAATTATCCACCAGAATTGGGGCTAGCCTTATTATTTGCTAGATTAAAATGTTTTGGATGAGTTTTAAGAGTCTTTCTCAAGTCTCTAACAACTAAAACTGGCCTTTCTCATCACGGAATCCTGAGTGTTTGTCTGAGCCAGCAAGTGTAGCCAGTTTTACATCACCAGGAGGATGCTCTGCTGTGTTTCTCCAGCTTGTGGAGCTAATGCATGAGGTATACCAATGCCTTTCATGCTGTTGACATGAAAACTGAAGTCCATGCTCTCATAGAGATGTTTTTGCATACTGTAAAGGCAGCAACTGCAGAGGTGGGTGTGCTACACACACTTGTAATCCAGCATTTAGAAGATGGAAACAACAAGATGAGGGCTTCAAAGCCATCCTCAGCTACATAGGGGATTTGAGGTTAGCCTGGGCTACATGAAACCCCATCTCAAAGATCAAAACCCTATCACAAGAATAAAAAGCGAGCATGGCAATACGAGTGATTTACACACTTAATAAAGGTTGTTAGGTAGCTGGGCGTGTCTGAAGCCTGTATCCAGAAACCTTTAAAAATATATACAAATTTGAATGAGGAGTTTTAATGATTTCTTCTGTATCTCTTCTACAGTCCTGGAGAGGAAATGATCAGGAAGAGTGGATCCCTCGGACATACCAAGACTTGGAAGGCCTGCCCTGCATAGTGATATTAACTGGCAAGGACCCTCTTGGAGAAACTTTTCCCAGGTAAGATGTGAGTCACTGGTTCTGCATGTCCATGGGCCCAAAGCTGAACTTCCAATTGATTGATGAACCTATTCCAGTTGCCTGGCATTGATTGATTGATGAACCAATTCCAGTTGTCTGACAGTGATTGTTTTATGCAGGGACAAAAAAGAAATAGAGCCTCATTCATTTTCTTTCAGATTTCCAGAACCACCAGTTCTGGAATGGGACTGAGCTACAGAGGAAAAGTGGTTATACCCCAGAGCAAAGCAGCCAGAAAGGCTGACGAGGAAATGCAGGAGAGATAGACAGACAGATGATAGATAGGTATTCAAATATATATATATATATATATATATATATATAT